GCTTTTTGGGCCACCATTCTGATATGGGCCATTTCTCTCCTTTCCTCAGCTTCGTCGAGGTCTTGGAGCCTGTTTGTGTCGTTTTCTGTTCCACTGGTGTGTGAATATCTTAGGCTTGGTTCGCCGACCTCGACGGGTATGACCGCATCGGTTCCGTAGACCAGCGAGTACGGTGTTTCCCCCGTGCTGGATTTGGGTGTGGTCCTGTGTGCCCACAACACTTCGGGTAGCAGCTCGGGCCATAGCCCTTTGGCTTCCTAGAGTTTCTTCTTTAGTATGTTCAGTATTGTTTTATTGGAAGACTCTGCTTGGCCGTTGGCGGCAGGGTGATATGGCGTGGAGAGTATCCTCTTGATGCGCCATTTCTCGAAGAATTCGGTTGTTTTTTGACCGATGAACTGTCGTCCGTTGTCGCAGCTGATTTCCTTGGGGATGCCGAAACGGCAGATGATATTCTTCCATATGAAGGCGATGACTTCTTGTTCGCGTATTTGGGCGTACGCTCCTGCTTCCACCCACTTGGAAAAATAGTCAGCTAAAACTAATAGAAATCGTACCTTTCCTCGTCCCGCTGGTAGGGGACCGACTATGTCCATTCCCCATTTGATGAAGGGCCATGGGGAAGTGACCGAGTGAAGTGGTTCTCCTGGTTGGTGTATCATGGGGGCATACTTTTGGCATTGTTCGCATCGGCGAACATATTCCGCTGCGTCTTTCTTCATAGTGGGCCAATAATAGCCAGCTCGTATTATGCAGCGCACGAGGGAGCGGTTACCTGTATGGGCGCTGCAATGACCTTCGTGTACCTCTTCGAGCACTGGTCGCGTTTGTTGCGGCCCTAGACACTTGGCTAGGGATCCGCCAAACGTCCTTTTGTAGAGCTCTTGGTTTATCAGGCAATACCGGGCGGCCTGTACGCGGAGCTTCTTGGCTTCTTTTTTGTCGAGTGGGACTGTTCCATCCTGCAGATAGGATACAAACTGGTTGCGCCAGTCCCAAGTCAAATTTAAAGAGAGTACCTCAGTGTGATCAATGGTTGAATGGAGGAGGGTGACCACGCTTTTGTGAGCACGTGATTTTTGCTCTACATGAATTACTCCCATAAATTCAAAACAAAATAATTTCTTTCAGTGTTTGCAATTTTGTGGATTGTCGTGGCATTTTCTGTTAATTGTTAGTATTTTTGTTCGAGCATTTTAATTAGTGAAAAATACAAAAAAATGTGTTGCATGTGCATTTAGGAGTTAATTTTGCATTTTTATAATTGTTTAGTAATTAAGTTGTTTTATAAAAGGAAAATCACAACAAAATAGTCATTTTGCACTCTTTAAATTTAATTTTTTTTACTTTGAGTAATTTTTCTTTTAATTGGTTTTATGTGTTAATTGGATAATTATCATGTAGGTTGTTTTAGTTTAATTAAGTTTTAAGATGAAAGTTTAGATTTTAATTTAAGAAGAAATCTTTAAAAAAAAAAGAAAAAAAAAGAGAGAAATTAGAAAATTGAAAAAAATGCAAAGGTTTGAGTCAGATTTGGGCCAAATTCGAAATTCTCTAGCCCAAAACCATTTTCCCCTTTAAAATCCGGTCAACCCAGGCCCCAACCGTTCCCTTACCCGACCCAGTCTCCAGTGGAGACCAAACGACCCCGTTTTGGATTTGAATCAATCTGGACCGTCGAGGATCTTTTGATCTAACGGTCGAGAACTAAGGGTCATTTACTACTTAAGTGTCTGAAGGTCTCCCCCTCCCCCCCTTCACCTCTCGTCGCCTTCCTTCCCCCATACCAGAGAACACCAAGAACCCTAGCCGCCGCCCCCTTTTCCCACCGCCTTGGGGTGGCGGCGCCAACCCTTTTTCCCACCAAATCGATACCAAGTGACCACCAATCCCTCCCCATCCCAAATCCCACGTTGGTTTCCTTCGAATAACTCCGAAGCCCCTCGAATCTTGAATCTTATACAACCCTAAAATTCGAGTATTGCCGATTGAAGTATTCGTCAAGAGTCTAGGTTCGTTCTGAGGTTATTCGCGTATTTTTGTTGAAAAAGCACGTGCTTAACCTCGGATTGAATCAAGGCTTGAAGATTCGAAGGTTCTCTCCAAATTCCTTACTACCTGAGTTTCAGTTTAGGTATTTTTCGTTTTTTTTCTTCTTTTATCTTTTCCTATGTTTGTACGTTTTTTTGTTTTCTTTTTATCTTCTGCTTCATTTTTCTTTTCTGGATTTCCATGTGTTTTCTAGTTTTTCCAGACCCGTTTTCATGCATGTTAGGTCAAAATCTTTTCATTAACTAGTTTAATTTTAATTTAGTCAAGGTACATTAGTTTACAAGTAATTTAGCCTAGGTTTTCTTTTAGTTTGTTTAAAGACCATTTCAGTGTTCGTATTTGCTGGGCTTGTAGAATATATTTGGACAATTATGGTGATTGGGTTTTGGGATATCTCTGACCCATTTGGCAAAGAGCAGCCCGCCCAATTTGGTTTAGTTTATTGGGTCAAATTTTGACCCATTTTTGGTCTGGTTCTGAATAGTAAAATTCAGGGGGTTAAGGGGTAATTTGGGTAGTCCAGGTTAGAGAATCTTTCACAACAGAATGGGAAGCTTCTAGTGAGGGGTCCTTTTTGAATTTCAGAAATATGAAAGGTAAAACTTGGGTAGCAAGTCAATAATTTAGGGTCACCTAAGCTAAAATGAAAATTCAAAAAGGGGCAAGGGGTAAAAAACCAAAATCTGAGAGCTGCCCTATTTGCTTGCCTATAAAGGCACCATTTCTTGCCTTAGAAGGCAGGTTGGAGGAGCTAAAAAAATCCAGAAACAAAGGCTGCTTAATTTTACTCTTTTAGAAAGTTTTTCCAAGTAAAGATCATTAGCATTGTATTTCANCCCCCAACTGCACCCCCCACTTTTTTCGTTCTCCCTCCTAATTTTCACCCAAAAATTATTTTACCTTGAACCTATTCTCATCCAATAGACAAAATCCATTGTAATTTCCAGATAACACTTATCTAAAGAGCAAAGGATGAGTTGTTCGTTTTTAATGGAGAAGTGAATCTGCTTTTTTGAAGGAAAAAAAAATTTGTTCAGTTTATCTGAAGTGTGCTTTTTGTCAATAATAAGAAACCAATGGAGAATGAAGAGTGATCTCCAGATTTTAATGGTGTGCCGGAGGAATTTCCTGGCAATAGCAGTGATGGAATTGTTGGTGGTAAGGAGAAGAGATGGCGGAGTAGGGAAAAAAATGAAGATAAAGTCAATAGTTTATTTTCCTTTGTGGCACTAGTAATGATGTGGCATCCTACGTGTAGGAGATTGTATTACACGCACCGGCAACCTCCTGTCATATGCGTTTATTTGAACAAATATAAGTGTTCAATTGACAAAATGCTAAGTAGAAGGATCGGGATGACAAAGTGGCACAAGTATAAGTGCCATTTAGGCTATTCTGCCATATATTATTTCTCAATACTTTCCGGTTGTTCTCTAAATCTTTTTATGCTACTCCCTCCGGTCCAAAATAAGTGATTTTTTGGCCTTTTTTTTGTGGTCCAAAATAAGTGATTTTTCGGATTTTAAGAATGAATTAATTATTTTTTTCCTACATTGTCCTTGAAGTAAATGGTGTTGGAATATGTGTTAGGAATGTTTATGTGAGATAGTAAAGGTTAATATGGTGAATTTCATTGCTAATTAATGCTAAAAGGTGGATTTCTTAATCTGTGTGAAAACATCCAAAAAATTACTTATTTTGGACCGGAGGGAGTAAAAAACATGAGGCTATAAACTTTTAAACCAACAACACAGGAGGGGGGGGGGGGTTGAGGGTGCAGAAAAACAAAAAAATAGAAATTTGAAATTGTAAAAAAAAAAAATGACGGTAAAAAAATAATTTTTTTTTTTGTGCGGGAGGCGGGGTGGGGTGGAGGGGTAGTAGGGTGGGTGGTAAAGGAAAAACTGAAATTTGAAAAAAAAAACTATTTTTGAAGAGAGGGGTGTGGTGGGTTGGTGAGGGTGGGAAAGGTTGAGAAGGAGTTTTGAAAAATATTTTCCCTTCTCTTGATAAGGAAAACATTTTCCTCCAATTAGAAAAAAATAAATTCATAAGGAAAATATTTTCCAAAACATTTAAGCCAACCAAACAAGAAAAAATTGGAAAACATTTTCCGAAAAATGTTGTGCTCCATACCAAACACACCCATTATATGAAGTTTTCCTCCGATGATGTTTTCGTAAAAAGGAGCAAATTAAATCTATATTTGATAAAAAGTTTGTTCATGTTTTGTCATGTTTAACTTTTAACACAATATGCAAGCAATGACGCAATCTACTATAACACGATAACAATGTTACATGCCCCAAAGTTGATGTGTGTATTTGTGATCATCTTTTCTGTCCTACTCTTCTTCCCCCCTTTTCCTTTTCCCTTTTGGTCATGTTTTTAGTTAATTTTCCAATCCATGGATCTGTGCCTCCAGAAAGTAAATCATTAGGTTATGTAGGGATACTATTTTTCCAGATGACATTTTTAGCTTTTCTTGGTAAAATAGTAAATCCTCTGTGTTGGACATGTTGTCCACATTCCATAAGTTAAAGAACGTACAAGTCAAATTTACTTAGTATTTAAATACCTAGTCTCCCTTTCCGGCCTTCATCCCCATCATTGGTCCAAAAAAAAAAAAAGAGAGAGAGAGAATAGTTTCACATTATTTTAAAAAGTTAATCTAAATAGTCTTTGAACACTTTTAAAAGTATGCATTTGCTTTCTTTTAAATAAAAATCGAAACTTCAATAATACAGTATTTAATCTAACTCTAGATCAAAATAAACAGAACGTGACACATAGAATATGGACTAAAGGATAAGTTATTGGTAGGAGGGCTAAAATCAACTCTACGTCAAATTGCTATCACAATTCAAAAAACAACTATTGGGGAGAGAAATTAGTAGTACTAGTAGACTAGTAGTACGTCTTAGTTGGGGGGTCAATTTGTAGGGCCATATCCCCACCAAATTTGGGTTGGTGAACCAAAAATGACCATATAAAATGCCAGACTCACTACTCTCATTACACCATCGAAAAACCTTCTGTTCCTTCAACTCACCTTACTTTACCCAATTAAGTCATTGTAAAATCTGAACAGAACCAAGAGAAGAAAAAATGGGTTCAACAAGCCAGAGCCAGAGTAACAGTCTAACTCACACAGAAGATGAAGCTTTCTTATTTGCCATGCAATTATGTAGTGCTTCTGTACTTCCTATGGTCCTAAAATCAGCGTTAGAACTTGACCTACTTGAACTAATGGCTAAGGCTGGTCCAGGTGCAGCTATTTCTCCTACTGAATTAGCTGCTCAGCTCTCAACCCAGAACCCAGAAGCACCTGTTATGCTTGATCGGATGCTTAGGCTACTGGCTACTTACTCTGTTCTCAATTGTACTCTTAGAACACTGTCTGATGGCAGTGTTGAGAGGCTTTATAGTCTGGCTCCGGTCTGTAAGTACTTGACTAAGAATGCTGATGGTGTTTCTGTTGCCCCACTTTTGCTTATGAATCAAGATAAAGTTCTTATGGAGAGCTGGTAAGTCCCCTTAATTCTTTTTTAGTATAATATATTTATGTGATTGATTGTTTCTGGCTTCGAGTCGTGAAAACACTAGTGTGAAACAGGTGTCTTCACCTTGTATTTGGCGTGAATACAGAATATTTTGTGCACAGGCTGTTCTTTAATTGCTTCTGATTTCTATCTTGTTTTTGTCTCACTGAATTCAAAACAATCATATATGCCTATTGATGATTCCTATGAAATTCTTGATTATAATTACTCTATTCCTTTACTAATGTTGTTACAGTTTATTACTACAAATCATAGGTCATTTCTCTTTCTTATGCTTTTCCATGGTTATTAACATATTTTTTAGGCAACTTAAAAAAATTAAAAAGTAAAAAGACATAGTATAGTTAATTAAGCCCTAGTGTGCTTTCCCTAACAGCTAAAATTTTTATGGTTTAGGTGTTGGTTGAATTTCAGAATATTTTTTATTTTAATTGAGTTGGTTTTGTGTCTTCGCCATTGTTGACTGCTACCCCGTATTGGAACTTGGCTTTTAATTTCAACAGATTGAATCTAGTCGTTGGAGAAACGACAGACACTTGATGAAAATTATGGATAATATTAGTATAAAGTTTCCTCATTGTATGCGTGGAAAGTGGAAAGGAGGTGGAAGCTCATGTTGACAAGTTTCATATTTGGTTACACTTGTGATAACGTGGGCCACCATAGTTTGAAAAAGAATAATTGGAAGCATTCCGTTTTTCCATCATTATCTGTTAAAAAAAAATTATTCTTTTTTCTAGATGTTTTTGAAGTAATGGAAACAATAATTGAGCACCACAAATACACTATAATAGTAAAGCTGCACTGTTAAACAAACATCAAATTTCAACCTAACATAGGGGACTTGTAATTCCTCGTGTCCACGTATAATCCATAAGTTCATCACTCAAATAGCTATTCAGCTATCTAAAATTACTTAATAAAATCATATTTTTTTTGTTTGTCTAAAATTACTTAATAAAATCATATTTTTTTTGTTTGTAACATCCAAAAATCACTTTTTAACTATGCATATAACATTCAAAATGTGTAATCCCCGACACGGGGGACTTGTGATTCCTCGTGTCCACATATAATCCATTCGTAGGTTGAATGGTTAACAAAACACACCCATTAAAATTTTATTAGTGGAGTCTGGGGATAGTAAAGTGTACGCAGATCTTACCTCTACCCAAAAAGGTAGAGAAGCTGTTTCCGGGAGACCTTCGGGTAGGTCGAATGGTTAACAAAAGTATTATAATTTGATCTGATTTTTTTTTAATCTTTTCGTTACCCCCTAATTTACTTGATTCTCATGTTTGTTATTGCAGGTACCACTTAAAAGATGCAGTACTTGATGGTGGAATCCCATTCAACAAAGCCTATGGAATGACAGCATTTGAGTACCATGGCACAGATCCAAGATTCAACAAAGTTTTCAACCGTGGAATGTCTGACCACTCCACTATGTCAATGAAGAAGATTCTTGAGGACTACAAAGGATTTGAAGGCCTAAATTCCATTGTTGATGTTGGTGGTGGAACTGGTGCTACTGTTAACATGATTGTCTCCAAATATCCCTCTATTAAGGGTATTAACTTTGATTTACCACATGTTATTGGAGATGCTCCAGCTTACCCTGGTAATTAAGCTAAAATCCTTCTCCCCCTTCAGCTACATTTGATTATTAATGGCATTAATGTTTTTTTTCTTATTTGTGTTGCTCATCAATCATTTTCCTAACTTTTAATTAGGTGTCGAGCACGTTGGTGGCGACATGTTTGTTAGTGTGCCAAAAGCAGATGCCATTTTCATGAAGGTAATGCCTAACTACCCCACCCCCACACCAACAAATATTCCATTGCTGCTTTCTTAATCAAAAGATAGGAGAGTACCCATTCTCCCGAAGTTACGGGTCCCTTTCTCCTAAGGAGTTATTCTAACTCATAAACACTTACATTGTAAAGACTTTTTATACTATCATAAACACATCACGAATACTATCAGTGACTATTGTGATAACTAGAGCATAGTGAAATGATTTTTGTGTAACAAAAGAAAGAAAAGTAACTTTTAAGTAATGATCACAAAGTTGAATGACTTTTACGTAACAAAAAAAAAAAAAGTAACTTCTGGGTAATGAATCTAAAGCTGAATGACCACCCATGAAATTTACTGTTATTAATTAGTACTACCACCTATTATGAATTGTCACTTGTAGATCCGCTCCCTGATTATACCAGTATATAAAATTTAAACTCGTTTATCGTCTTGCTTTTATTATTATTTTTTTTTTAAAATCGAAGATGTAATTCAGAGGATAACGTAATATATTGGTGCAGTGGATTTGTCATGACTGGAGCGACGAGCATTGCCTAAAATTCTTGAAGAATTGCTATGAAGCACTACCTGCAAATGGGAAGGTGATAATAGCAGAGTGCATACTTCCAGAAGCCCCAGATACATCACTTGCAACTAAGAATACAGTACATGTTGATATTGTGATGTTAGCACATAACCCAGGAGGCAAAGAAAGGACTGAGAAGGAATTTGAGGCTTTGGCTAAGGGCGCTGGTTTTACTGGATTCCGCAAGGCTTGTTGCGCTTACAACACTTGGATCATGGAATTCAACAAGTAATTAATCGATTCCTTTGGAGGATTAAGCAATATACTGTTCATTTTGCATTTGGAAATTCTACTTTTCTCAGAGTGGCTTGACTGCGAAATAAAAGAAATATAGCTTTTTAACTTGAAAAGATTGATGTTCAAAAGAAAAAAAGGAATTTTAATTTTATTGTATGTATTTCTGTAATACACATGTATTGAAGGAATACTTGTTTTCGACCAATCATATATTTTTGAGATTCTGAGACTTAATTTACATATATTGTACTACTAAATATTTGAATTTATGATTGATGCGCAGTCATAGAAAATTAAAAATGATGAATAACAAACATAGCAGATAAAATGAAAGAAAATCGTCTTGGATGATGAAAACATTCAAATACTGATAACATAGGTTCTTGAAAGATTCATGATCTCACTCAATTAATGTGGACTTAAATATTAGCTATTCATAAAAACAACACTAATTTGTCGCAACTTAGACTTAAATTGTTGTTACACCTGCACATGGGTGGCATACGGGCTGGGTCAAATCAGATGTGGACGGATTATACGACATAGCCCATATTTAATACTATTAGAAAATGGGTTAACCAGCGGATAATAGAATATTCATATCATCCACGGCTTCTTGAATATGATCACTTTTGGTAGATTTTCTAGTTTCTCAAACTTAAGAAACTCACAATTTGAAATTTTACAAATGTAAAAGTTAAACCCATTAGTTATCCATTTTCTAATTGGCTAATATAGTTCTTATTTATAATTGATCTATTTTAAAAAGTTCATTATCCAATCTATTTTTTAATGAATAATATGGGTGAATAACTATTTTTCTTTAACCATTTTGCCGCACCTGCACAAGGTCTTATGTTTGCCAAAAAGTCATCATATAGTCTGGTTAGAGACTTGTACGTTAGTGTAAGAATAAGTATGAAATTTAGAAAATTTAGTTTTGAAGGACTTCTAATTTGACGTAAGACAAATTTTAGTGCTGGAACGAGATGGACCTAAGTAGAGTGAAGTGGTTATAGGAGATGCACATAGTCAAACTCAGGATTGAAATGTAGTTGATATTTAGGAAGTCTTTTTTTTTTTTTTTTGAGCAAGCAAAGATATTTATATTAATACTACGTAGGGCTTAAAACATTAAGACATTGCCCATGTCACATAGGACGCATTGGTTACCTAGTACTAGAACATTACAAGCGTCAGTAGCTAGATACTTAACAAAAACACATTGTTCCTTTTGGACCTTCATTATAAATGATTCAACAAAAAGCGGAGGCTGCGCATAGTATTTTTTCATCCATGTCTGTGCGTCACTCTTCTTTGCTAGCTGGTGGGCCACTTCATTCTCTTGCCGGAAGACGTGTCTGAGGACCACTTCCTTCTCCTGGTAGATTAATAACCTGCACGCGTTAACAATATCGTCATACATTTGATTACCTTGGCGTATACCATGGATTACCTCAGTGGAGTCTGTTTCTATTTTTAGTGGGAACAGTTTTCATTCTTGAGCTATTTGAAGACCTTCGAGTAGAGCCAGGAGTTCTGCTTCCAATGAACCATTTGTAAGAGCGAATTTTGTAACACCTACAATCCAATTCCCACTTGTGTTTCTGAATACACCTCCCAAGCCACTCTTTTGGTTGTTTTTGTAGCTTGCATCTATATTTAATTTATACCATCCCTTTGGAGGTTTTCGCCATCTTATATTGATAGGCTTTCTCTTCGAGGGCTGTGACAATTTCCAGTTAGAAGCTTGTATTTTATTAATCTTTGCATGATGTAGTCGATATTGATAGGGTTAGTAGTGTTGTTTTGGTTGTTATTTCTATTTATCCAAATATTCCATAATACAAAAAGGAAAAAAGACTTCCAGTTTATACAACTATTTCTAAGGTTGTGGTCAAAGTCTTTTATTTGCATAAGCCAATGAATGTCCGTTGGTTGATAATAATTTGACCATCCCGCACTGTCCCAAAAAGGACTAGTCGTTTTACAGGTGAAGAAAATATGGGTGATGGATTCTTCTTCCGTTTTACATATTGGACACATGGGGTTTATGTTAATACCCATATGTGCTAGGTACGTTCTACATTGCACTCTATTATGTAGGCATTGCCATAGGAAGAAGTTGATTTTATTTGGACAATTCAATTTTCAAATCCATTCAAAATCTATTTCTCTTGCTTTAGGTGGGTCAATTAGGTCATAGTAAGACTTTGTGGTAAAAAAGAAACCTTTAGTGTTTTGTGACCATATAGATATGTCACAAAGCGGACCCCTAGTACGAATCCTTACCTTTGAAATATGCTCCTTAATGTCCTCGGGGAATGTTTAGAGAACTTTGTGAAGTTCTAATTATGATTGTTATAGATATTCCTAATTTTTAGAGAGTGGTAGACAATTGAGAGAGGACCCTCAACGGTGCTTCTAAGGTTTTTTGTATTTAGGATCCAATTTATATACCAAATGTTCATATTGGATTGTTGGTGGGGTGACCAAATAATGCCTTTGGTGCAAAACTCCCACCCTTTCAAAATAATCTTTCAAACGAAAGAGTGGGGGTTCTTGGATTTGCTAGTGCCATAGGAGGTGATAATATTTTGCCCATGATGTAGTTGTGTTAGTGAGCAGTCTCCACGCTAGGCTTGTTAATAGGCTAATATATTTTGTACTAGCATTTCGTATGCCTAGGCCACCATTGGACTTTTGTTGGCACACAGTAGACCATTTAATTAGATGGAGTTTGTTCTTCTCAGTTGTTGTTCCCCATATAAAATCTCTTTGTATTTTATCATATTCAAGATTTTGTTTGGGAGTAGGGTGTATTACATATAGTAGTTAGAGATTGAATTAAGGCAAGCTTGGGCAAGAGTGATTCTTCCTGTATGTTAATAAACTGAGTCTTCCGGTTAGCTAGTCTAGCCCTCATTTTGTCTATAATAAATTGGTAATCAGCAGGTCTTGGGTTTTTGGTTAGGATTGGGAATCCCAAATATCTACCAACAGAGTCACTTTTTTTTAAGTCCCAGGCTGCTAGTAATATCCTTAACAATGTTAGGTGAGCAGTTGTTAGAGAAAATAATTTTTGATTTTGTAGTATTTATACTTTGGCCTGATAGGCTACAAAAATAATTTAGACCGGGCCATTAATGTTAGGTCATCCGCGAAAAATAGGTATGAGAATTAGGGGCTTCTTCTTCCTGTAATAATAGGGTCCCAATTATGTATATCTACTTGGTAGTTAATAAATCTAGAGAACATCTCCATATAAAGTAAAAAGATATATGGCGATATAGGATCACTTGCCTAATTCCCCGACTTGGTTCAAATAAATTGGTGATTGTACCATTTACTAGGACCCCTATTGAGCTAGTGGAAATACAATTTAGTAAGAGTTTGGAGAATTTAGGGGGGAAAATTAAAGTTTTTGAGGGTGCGATAGATAAATGACCATTCAAGGCAATCAAAGGTCTTTTCAAGGTCGATTTTTAAGATCATTTGACCATGCTTTCCTTTCATTTTTTTAAGTTTGAGACTAACTCTTGGATAATGATTGCATTATCGGAGGCTTTTCTGTGTTTCATGAAGCTAGTTTGGAAAGGACTAATAATATGTTCTAGGAATGGCTTGAGACGATTTGCTAGGATTTTGGTAACCGTCTTGTACATAGTATTGCAAAGGCTAATGGGCATAAAAGAATTTATATTGTTAGCATTTGAAATTTTTGGAATTAGGTATAGGTACGTTTTGTTATTGTCACTAGGGATTTGTTGGGTGTTAAAAATATCATGACAAAGGTTCTTGACAGATTGCCCAATAATATGAATATTTTTGAAGAAAAAAATGAATGAGGCCATCCGGCCCAGGAGCTTTAAAATGTTTAAAGGAGAAGATTGCTCTCGTAATTTCACTATCCAACAATGGATTGTCTAAAGTTATTAGATCATATTTATAGTGACTATAGGGGCTTGTTTTTATGCTATTCCAATCAGTACTTAAGTGAGAGGTAGTGAAAGTATCCCTAAAGTAATTGCAAACATGTGACATGATCAAGTGCTGATCATTTAGCGTGTTTCCAGCCTCGTCCTTCAAATAGGTAATCTTATTTCTCCTCCTCCTATTTGATGCGGATAAATGAAAAATCTTGGAATTAGCATCTCCTAAACATCATTTTCTAGTAGTCCTCCTCTATTCTAAGAATGTCATTATAATCTTTTTTGAGGCTAAGCTCTAGTATACGAAGAAAGTCAATGTTCGTGTAATTCCTAGAGTTTTGGATCCCTTTAGTTTTGCTTAAAAAAATAATTTTACCAAAAATATCTCCAAAAGTCTTGTCCTTCCATGACTTAATGCTAGTTTCAAAATTCTTACTAGCACTGCAATAATCTATTTCATTCCAATTCATGCTAACTAGGTTTTGAAAGTCGGGTTGTCTACACCAAAAAAATTCTAATCTAAACGGTATTTTATTATCTTGTCTACCTCTAGGAATTAATTCTACTAAAAGTGAATTATGATCTGAGTATGTTTTAGGAAGGTGGATTACTGAGCAATTAGGAAAAACTTCAAACAAGTCCTCATTTCCTAAAATTTTGTCTAGTCGCTCCATGATGAGTCCCTTTTTTCTCTTCCTATGATTTGACCACGCATATTTGCAACCCTTATAGCCAATGTCCATTAAATTGCAATTACTAATTTTTGACCAAAAAGGATCTATTACTGTTTAAAAGTCTCCCCATAATTTTTCATTTGATCCCATAATATCATTAAAATTGCCTCCTACCATCCACGGCCTTTATAATTTTTATAGATATTTTCTAAAAAATTTCACATAATATTCCTATTAAATTTATCTGTACTAGCATATACAGATAAAAATAACCAAAGTGTACGAACAGGGAGTACCTCAATTGTTGCATGAATTTCTTGGTTCCCGCGAACAAAGTTATGGACAATTACTATATTGTGGTTCCACATTACCATCATACCTCCTGCTTGTCCTTCTGTGGGTACTTCTATCATCTCTGAGAAACCAAAATGACTAAGCATTTGAACATGGTTTGTCATCCAAGTTTCCAGTAGTGTAATTATGCATGGCCTATGGGTGTCAAGCATCTCCCTAAAGTTTCTCCAAAAGTCATCATTGTTCCTTCCCCTAATATTTCAAATAATGAAATTAGTTGGACGATTCATGGTTAGGTTCAAATTCATGTTTGCTGGGTCCCCATTCTCCCTAC